GTATTTTTTTTGTTTTTTAATTGTATTCAACATAATTGTATTTTATGTTGTTTTTTAAAAAGTATTCAACATAATTGTTTTTTAAAAAGTATTCAACATAATTGTATTTTTAATATTTTTTCAAAAAAATATTAATTTTTTCAGCAAAATGTACTCAATAAATGTACGCTTTTAAAAAATTTTAGTACATTTTAATATATATTTTTTTAGTACGTAAGTCTTTTTTTTTTGGATAAAATCGTGGTTTATAATAGCGAGTTCAGAAGAAATTTTTTTTTGGATAAAACCACGATTTAGGGAAATGCCCCATAAAAATCTTTTATTAATTTTGGATTAATTTTGTATAAATTATAAAAAAATGATTATAAATTATAAAGTAACAACATTTGTAATCATTAAATAAATATAATTGATGTAAGTTGATTTAGGTAATTGATAAATTATAAATCTAAGTAATTTACATAAACTTATAAGTGTAAGTTGTTAATCTTGTTACTTTGAGTGTAGGTAAACTTATGAATGTAAGAAAATCCAACAATCTTATGAGGTAGGTAAACTTATGAGTGTAGGTAAACCTAACTTTACATCAAAGTAACAATATTTCTAATTTACCTAAATTTCACATCATGACATAAATTATGAGTGTAGGTTGTGACTTTATATAAATTATAAAGTGTTTGTAAACTTGATTTATACATATTCGTGACCACGCTTGTAAGTAAAATATATAAAAATGTGTTTTTAAAACACATATTGAACAAAAATTCAAAACCAGCACTCACTCTTCTTTGTCACAAACACTGACACTCACTCTCTCTATCTCTCGCTCTGACACACACACCCACAACACTTACACTCACATGAAACATATATAATTTTTAATATATATAAATTTTATTTTGTAAAATTCAGACCAATATTAAATATATATAATAATAATTGATAATAGCAAATAATAATCAACTATATAAAATAATTATTTTTTTATTTTAATTCTTAATTTTTTTTATTTTACTGTTCAGGGATAATTTTTTTTTATTTTTTATTTTAAGGTTTA